ACATCGGAGAAATTCTTTGACATCATCGTCAGCTCGGAATATTTGGCTTCTCGCTCCAGCCATTGTGATGCACAGGATCTCTCTTTGTCTCGCTCTCTTGCTCTTTGTTTTTTGGGCCAGAAGCGCACTGTTCAACTTTTTGGGGAATATCAACACGAGCGAAGAAGAACAAGTTGAGCTTCAGTTTTGGGGGGTGTGGTTCAATCAGCTTTTGGTCATGCGGTGCAATTGCAGTTCCACGATACGCAATTCGAATCCCGCTTTCGGCGAGTTAAGGTAGTAGCAAGGACCTAATTCGTGTAAATGTGCTGTAAAACGATCATGCGACCCCTCCCCCGGGCACAGACTTGGTTGACCAAACCGATTGATGCTTGCTGTGAAGAAGCCATGGGAAACCACTCTAGTTGACCCTAGTGTGAGAACTGATGTTGTGTTTCCTCATGTGATGTGGAAATCTGTCACTGCACTCCTCTAAGCTTATGCATGAAGTGTTTGTTTTATACCTTGAGCAGTTCTTGTCATTCTGTCTGAAAGATGGGCACACCACACACACGTACACTTATGCCGGACGTTTGTTTTGCACATTGAGAGGATGTCCATGGCGTTTCTGTTGGGGTTGGTTCCATTTTAAGTTGCCCCAACATTGAGGTGAGTGGCAGCCGATAAGCTCTGCAAATCCTGCACCAGCTCCAACCCCTAAAAGAGGCCGGGTCCCAAGACTCTTCTACTGGGACTCATGCAATATGTTAAAATAGACCTGCGATGGGTGTAAGAGTTTTTGCGCCTCGTACAGACACCAAATGCGGCGGGTTCTTTAAGGCAGAGGAAGAAGTACATGGGGCACAACCAAGATAAGCCTATCAGTTACTTTGTTACGCTCTAAGGCACTTGCATGTACCCGACTCCACACAGAGGGCTCTTGAGAAACTCTGGCTGGGGGCTGAGTGGCTCCAGGTGCTCAGTGCAAGTGGCAGGGGTCCAGTCCTGACGGGGGGGCGCCCCGAAAACGGCCCGTTTCAGAATTGCAGGCAGCGAAATGAATCGGACTGAGGGCGCGCCAATAATTCCAAGCAACGCTACACCAAGTTGCAATCGGAAAGCCGAATCGTCGTTCGTCGTGATCCCTCGCTAAGGGCCGCAAAGAGTAACTTACTTCCTGAGTTCCTGGACTTCAAACATTTGTCGGGTAGACCATTCTAGTGGCAAAAAAAAGAAGTTTGGAATTTGTCTGACCAAAATCCACTCAGGAAGTGAGGTAAGGGCAGAATAGTCGCCGCCGCTTGAGGTGCAGTCCGAACGCCTCCGACTCATGTTCCGATTGGGTTTATATGTTGGTCCAGTCGAGGGCTTCTCCGAGTCCCCGACAACTAGACGCGCCTTTGTGGGATGGTGGCAAGGAACATGTAAAGACCGCTTGTATTGGCCAATCCACTGAGGAAGTGTTATTTTTTGTTGTTTTCGAGGGTGGCTTGTTTGCGCATGTTGTGAAAGGATACATATTAGAGAGAGGGAGATGTATACAAAAGTTTCAAGATTGGCACTTTGCGGTGTTTGGCCGATTCCAGGCCGTTTTAGGTGTTGGACCCGGAGCCATGCAAAGGGCTCTATTTCCAGAGGGCGCAGCAGGTGAGACTGATTTCAGAGCGTCATTGGCTCAATCACCTGGTCACCGGGATTTGCGAGTTGCATTGGACAAACTTGTGTTGGCTGACATGCATTGGTTTTTTTTAGCAAACCTGCCTTTCTTAACAACAACCCAAACCCAATGTTGTTTTTGTTTAAAGCCCCAAGGCGGACATCGTAAGCCTCAAGACGGCACCTCAGAGGGACAAGGCTTTACTGCCCTTGCAGCGGTGTGGGCCTCATCTCGGGCGAGGCCCAGCCACTCCAACGGAAGATTTGCTTGCTTTACTTTTCCAAGAGTTGAACTTAGTGTGTGCACCGATTTTCATGAGCTCATTTCAAGGCTCAGACCTTTGCTTTATTGATGCTGTAGTCAGGGATTCCTGAACTCTTGTTTCCGAATTATGAATTGTGTGTGTGTGCGCGTGTGTGCTCTGTGCTGCGAGTTCCAGCACCTAAAAGGTCAATAGTCATTAGTTTGAAAAGCCTCCTTTCTTTGTATTGAGATCCTGGTTTGGAATTGCATCTCAACTTTCCAGCGGAAATGGCAAATAGCTGCTGCAAGGGCTACTTTGCCAGGCCCTTCAGTACCCTTGACCTTTGCATTCGACTGCACCAGATGTACACAATTTGGCTGGGACTGCTTGCGTGGAAGCCAAAGAGCCGTGGCCACGGCAGCTGGCGGACCGGTTGGCCAACGGTTTACAACTCTCAGATCGAAAAAATGATGGAACCCAACCAAGGGCCTCATCACTTCTTCCTAAAAACCCTCCTCCAGAATTAAAAAATCCGGCAATACCACTTTCAGAAGAGGCCAATACGAAACCAATTCTAAATTACCCATTTTGACCGATTTTCCCGTTCGTCCTCCAAATCATCCGTATTAGGGGTACCTTTTTTTGCCCTGACTTCCCTTCAAAATAACTTTCCTGACTTCCTATCATCCATGAGTTCCCACTCACACACACACACTCAAACACACAACACTCAAGCACGAGGTTTCCCCCCAAAAAAAGGTCGCCGTTTCCATTTAAATCCCTTACTTAAAAACGATCAGTTGAATGGTTTTTGGTGCCCGGAAAGGGGGGGACACATTCTCACTGATAACCAATACTAAAACCAAGCTACTCCCAAATGCTGCCCTGAAGTTCCGAAAACTGAACAGGGGACCCCTAATTATAAAAACCTCGGGGGGCTTTTTATATTAGGGGGGGGACGTTTTATACTAGGGGGAAGCGATTACATGGAACATGGGTTGCTAGAGAGCAGTCAGGTTCCATGATTGTTCGTGCTTGTTTTTGTTCGGCGCGGACATCCACCGGTTCGCAGTCCTGCGTCAAGTTGTGCGTTTCTTCCTTGCTCGTCCCATTTTGACTGGCACGAACGTTTGGCTGGAGGACACGGGGCGAACGTTTGGACATCTCACAGCTGATGGGAGCCGATGGTTCCTTTGGCGCACAAGGGTTCAGGTGAGGAATGACTCAGAGTTGATCACTCCCAAGGCCTTGGCTGAATTGCACGCAGCACACTTGAATCCCAACGGCTCAAACTGGATTGACCCGGCTATGCAAATCCGAAGCGTTTTCTCGAGATAGATCGCTGTTGCCCTCATTTGCCACGTTCTTAAGGCAACACATCACTTGCTTGGTACCACAGGCGCGGGGGAGCCGCAATCAAAGCCCGGGGAATTCAGTGAAGGTTAGTACACAAAAAGTCCTGAGTCCAGCCGGCTTTGGATCTTGCCGTATGCATTAAGTTTCATACCAACGTTTGACTGCGACGCACGTCGTGTTGTATCGGCAATCAGTGGCACAGGCTGTTATCCAAGGCATTCAAGTCAGGCGCGAGGAACCATTGGTCCGGTCAGGGAAGGGATGGCCCAGTGCCTTGATATCTTCCTCAGTCCTGGCATTGCCAGCTGGCTCTGCTTAGAGGGTGGTTCCCGCGTCTAGCCTTTGCCAAGCAACAGGGGAGAATAATGAAATGCACATCGGAGCATTTTCATATGCTCCCAAATCTGTGTCATTTGGACCCCCCCCCGCCAGGTCAAAGGCTTGTGCACTGCTTGCGCCCAAAGGGGTGGCCCTACATGTCCGCCCGCGCGCGCCGCCAAATCGACTTGCCCTCCTGATGTGGGGGCTGTACCTTCCCACATCCCTTATCCGAGGTGCGGCCTCTCAAAGGAGGTGGCCTACTGTTCGGACCACCTGTCCAGTTGACCCGCTCTGTACTGCCTGCTGTCGGGAGGGCTGTAGGAATGCCCAGGGCTCGACGAACCGGACTGTGTTGCGGCGAAAAAAGACCGGAGAGATAGTCTTGCGCGAGGCATGCCTTGGCCACAAGTAGGATTGCCCAATGTGTCGTTCGGTAGTTCGGGACATGCGCCGAAAGGTCCCAGTGGACGTTTCGGCCGGGGGTTCCACCAGACTTAGTGAAGACTTTTCGCAAGGCCTTTATAAACCTTTGTGACCACTTTGGTAGGGAAAAATCAAGTTTCGGGCGCCGCTGAAATTTCACTTCTCAGGCCCAGGCAAGTTCGGTCGGCTTAAATTATTGCGGCCAGTGCGCAAAGGTTTGCATTCTCTATCAGACCCAGTTCGACCATATTCACTCCCAACAGGGGCTCCCTTTTTCTACCACGGCCACTGCGCAACTACCAAATCGTGTTTGTCTCCTTGGTTTCCCCTACAGCCATTGCCCGGAAGGAGATTCAGCCACAATTCCCGCCATGGTGTCCGAAGATCTGACCAACTTTGACCCTGAAAGGATCACAACATGCAGTGCACACACATATATAGATATACTAGTGTATACATATATATAAATATGTATACGTGTGTTTCTATCTCGCTAGTTTGGTTTGCTGTGCTTTCCCATAAGTTGAAGCGACCCCGGCTACTAAGTGTTGGTAAAAGTTCTTATGGCCAGCAAGGGATGGCTGGCGACCTCAGAAGGGAATGCAGAGACATATTGGCAACTGGGATTGCAGAAGATAGTCCATCCAGGGTGAACTATCCAGCTTTCTTCGGATTGAACATCCAAGAAGCAAATCTACGACCCTCGTAGACAATTTAAACGTTACCCAGGTTCGGCTTCGGCCATCCAGAACTCAAATCTGTGCAACCAGTACACCCCTGTCCTAGCTATGAAGGCGCCTGGAGGTCGTAACCCGTGTTTATCGCTGTGAGCTGCCAAAGGGTGTTTCAAAGGCAGGCCCTTTTCCGCGTTTCCGTTTCATCCAGAAGGAAAGTTAGACATGATGGTTCCATTCGTTCTTGCTGCTTCTTTTCCCATGGTGTAAGAAGCTGGGCCCTCCCCGCTGGCTACAGGGGCCTTTTGCCTCGCCTGCCTCACCTTTGACCGGCCGGGCACGGCAGGTTCTATGCGTCCGACTTTGACTGGCAGAAGGAGCTGTGCCCATGTGCCTCGCTGGTTTCTGAAGCTTCACGGTTGTGCCGGTGGCATGAACAGGCACTGCCTGAGCCATTGGACCTATCAGTGTGTTTCCAAGATTCCTGCAGAAGGCATGCCCCCGTGTGAGCCACGTGCTCAAAACCCAGGTAGATGAAGGTTAGTAAGTGGCAGTCCCCACCATAAATAGCTGCGGCCGCCTTCTTAGTTCTTTCCATGGTTTTGGGTAGACCATTTGAGTACCGAGTATTGATTGTGACTCCAGTGAAGGCAGGAAGTTTTTTTTTTTTAAATGATTTCCTTGCATGTTGGGGACTGAGCATGGCTTCAGGCTACAGCAGGGCCCCGAGCTCGCCACGAGCCAGCCGTTAAACCCGGATACCACCTTGGCTGAACGCATCAACCAGCTGAGCTCCGGCGGGGCCCAAGAGACCAAGCCCTGCACCCAAACCCTGCCGTGCATGGCAGCCCCGAGCGATCCTCAAATGTCCACAAGGTCATGGAAGCCTTGGGTTGCTGACGCGGCAAGTAGCCTCTGTCGGATTGTCTTCAGAAGCTTTTGAACCAGCTACATCCGGCACGTTTCGCCTGAACACATTTGATAAATTGAAGAGTTTCTGGACCCTGGCAGAGAAACAGCGGCAAGGAGGTGGTGTCCCTGCAGGGAACATACCATCCCAAGAAGACGGAGCTGCTGTGGGTGGGGCTCCCAGGTCAACTGCAGGTCAACCGCCAAACCTTTCCGTTAATGGTGATTCAATCTATGCCAGACGGTGAAGGGGCTCAACTGGATGTTCCTTGCAGAATGGTTCAAACATATTCAAACATCACATTTTCCTCTTTGCCGTTTTGACATGAGTTTCCTTTGATTTGGACGGGGCGATGTTAGTTGGGAGGAGGCACATCATACTGTGGACACCCTTCGGGATGGTGGGACTCCCAGTGGCAAGGAACACGAGCACTCCCAGGCTTGCAGCGTTTCTTGCCGCCCCCTCGTGTCCGTCAACCGCTGATATGTAGCTTCGCGCCTTCCATGTCCTGGTGAATCGGGAAAACGCTGTCATGTGATTCGTTTGCTGAGGGGATCTAGGCTGCCACCTATGATTGACACCTCAAGCGAACGCCAGATGGGATGAAGGATTGCTCAACCCATGGGCGTCCAGTTGGGAGGGAATGCGCCACTTCTTCAACACCCTATCTAGAAGAAACATATGCCAGGATTTAAAGATCATTCGGGGTCAGCATCTTCTGGGTTCAAAACCATTCAGAATTCTGGTTTTCCTTGTCGTAGGGCTGTCCTATACAAATTCCTCCCCAATTTCAAAAAACATTGGCATGTATCCAATTCCGACCCCAACATGCTTCTGGTTTTTTTTTTCACCCGAGGCCCCCACTGGCTCGACTCGCAACTGAAACACAGCTCCCCGGCCTCGCACAATGCTTCGGCCAGATCGAAGATCCGGTGGAGCCTGGAGTGGATCTCGCCGGGCCCGGCGCTCGCGTCGCTTTTTTTTTGCTGCGCCACTAGGTCCCCCAGTTGTGCCCTTTCTCTCCCCTTTTTTTGGGGGGAGGGTTTTCGTCACTAAGATACATTAGAGAGACAAGTTGGTACCCTTATTCTAACCTCTCTACTGGAGGACCTAGGCCAGATGAGCCACAATCAAAACCTGGGTAGGTGAAGGTTAAGGGACAGTCCCAGCCAGAATCAGCTGCGGACATCCGCCTTTGTATTTCCTTGCATGGTTCTGGGTCAACCGTTGTAAAACCGGGTTTTGAGTGTACTCAGATGCCAGCTGTGCTGTGTTCATCTTTTTTTTTGTTGAGGGGGGGGCTAAAGTCGTTTTGTCCTGGCAGGGTGGCAGGGTGGGTGAAACTCAGCTTTCCCTCTAATTGGTGGTTTGCATTGATTTGGGATTTGAACCGAAACCAAATCGGGAAGGGAAGGGGATTTGTCTCCACCCCTATTGTCCTCGAATACCCTCGACCATCGACTGGGACCTCTCTTGAAGAACATCTTGCTTTTTTGCAATCTTCACCAGAATCTAAACATGTTTGATTTGTGGCGGGTAGCCTTCTCACACGTTCCAACTCTCGTCGCCGACGTCGCCGACTTAGGCCGTACCTCAGTCCCTTCCGCCTGGCGCGGCTAAGGGGGGAGTTCCGCCGTGCACAGCGCTTGCTGCGCGCAGGCGTAGCGGTCGAGGGAAGTGGGAGATAGCGCAGACCGGCCCCAAGGCCAATTTCCTCCAGGGATCCTTTGGGTTGTATGTTGGTAGGGGTACGGATGCTCAATTAAGCCCATGCTTGCACCACTTCCTTCCTGGGTTTCCTTTTGCTGAAAAAGTGTATGGCTCACACGTTGCAGAGTGGATGTTAATGTGGGCATGCTCTCCAGCACCGGTCGGAAGCCCGGAAGCGGGGCCTCCCCAAATTCGCGTATCAGCTGGGAACGTATTGGAGTATCGAAACAGGAGCCCTTTGTGTGACAAAACCAAGAAGCGAGCACATAGAAATGGGGGATGTGCAAGCATCCAGTTTACGGGATCTTTTGCTGATGGGAGGTCGCAAAATTTATTTGGTGTCGATGTTTTTGTTTTGTGTTTTTTCTCCGGGGGGAGGGGGTTCCCAGTTTTGCACCAGTCACCACAACTTTACAGGTATTGGTTTGAACGGTTGTTTCGTGGACCCTGTGTTTGGACCTTTTTATTAGAGTAGCATGTGCTCATTCGACAGCATGTTTGAGATGAGCTTCGATTTGTTGGCCTTTGTGTTTGTGTGTGTGTGTGTTGCGGCATGTGTTAGTGCAGCTTTAGCTTGACCGGATTGCCATGCAGTACCATGCTTAGCCCTGAGCCGTGAAACGCCGTGACCTCTGAACTCAGCGTGAAACGACTGCCAATCTCCTTATCTCCCGACGAAACCGCCGGGGAACCGATGGGCTCCCAATCTGCTCCGCCAGGCGCCGGCTGGGAGGAGATCTTTCAGCACCGAGGGACCAAAAAGCCGTGCGAGCCGATATTTTCTTTCAGTGGGTGGGGGCACATGGCTTTTGTGTCCAACCACTTAGGAAAGCCACTGGAAAGGGATCCAGAAGCAAACATTGAACAGCTAGTCACGCTTGCGTATGTTGCAAATTTGGCAAACAAATGTCCCAATTGAAAGGTTGCATGCTCCCAGTGCTCGTATTTGTTGATCAACTCTCAACCCAGACGGCTTTCATAGAGTTTGTGGGGCTGATGCAACACCTTGGCATCCATTGACAAGGGCTCATTCGACAGAACTGCTTGGAAAGCTTCGCTGCTGCGCAGGCTTGGGCATGTTTCTCAGCCTTTGTAGAGCCCCATGCTCGAAATCCATGCGGGCACCTGTTGCGATTGGTCTATCCCTGTTTTCATGGCATTTGGTGCAGGGTTTTGTCCACGACAATCGACTTCATTTGGGCCTTTTCGCCATCGGGGATGTCAAATGTCTCGGAAAAGGCAGAGCTGCCTCGGGTCGAGTATGACTGTTGCTTGCAGACTAGCAGATAGTGTGAGGATGCCTGAATCCATGGCTGCAACTCTGCAAGCGTTCATCATGGCACGTCAGAGTGATGCGAGTTGATTTTCGCACACCACATCGTCTTCCTCAGGTTCATGTGACGCAATGTCATGAGGGCACAAGAATACGAGGGGCAGTTTGGTCATAGCTCGGGTAACCCATGCTCTACATGTTTCGACCTGGTCGTGACCAGGATATTTCTACGCACATCCAGGGCATTGACACTCGGCCCGCCAAGGTTTGCAACAACTGGAAGCCAAGCTTGCGCAGCAGAGCGCGGAGACGGACGGCGCGGAGCCGCGGAGTTGCGGAATCCACTTAGATATGGCCACATGTACGAAGCAAAGCAGGTTTTTCGCGACTTGGAAAGAAAGGGGACCTGTGGCCTTTTTTGGGGGGATTTGCCAATCCGCAATGACTCGCATCCGCTGGGTTTGCAGGAACTTTGCGCCACTGGCGCGGCGTTATCCCCTTGCTATCGATGGCCAATTCCCCAGTTCATTGCATTAGTCAGCGGCTCGGACAACTTGCATGGTGCGGACTGCCGGGTTGGTTCAGAACGCCGGCATGCATGCATCTGCATATGTGCATATATACATAAATATGCATATATAAATATACATATATGTATACATACATACTTGCATGCTACCCATACACATGGGTAAGGTCTGGACATGTGTGGACAGCTGTGGGCATGTGACCGATATGGTGACCCAACAAGGTAAGTCCGAATCAGTCTCAACGACCAGGCCACAGCTGTTTGGATTTGGCTCTTGTTGGTTCGTGACCGTGAGAGCATGACTGTGAGCTTGGTCGTCGGTTTCTATGAGTGATACATGGATTGCAGTTTGGAAGCTGACAGTTTGCCAACATGGACACACGGACATGAATCTAAGACAAGTCCTCTGGATTGAATGCCGCTTGGCACTTTCCAGTGTCTGGATATGATTCCTGAAGAGCTGCTTCAGACACTCGAGTATTGAAGGGGTTGCCATGCGACCTGTTTTCTCTGGTTTGCAAGTCGTAGCCAACTTGGTTTGTGCTGGAGCAGCTGGAGCTAGCGCTGACATTCCCAGCACAGTTGATTGAGCAAAATACGGGCGATTGTGACCACAAAGTGCTTGCGCGTGCCCGGAAATTGAAATGTTGGGATGTTGGGGGCTTTACATGTGCGGACAAGGGCAGGTGTAAAAACGCGTCGCGTAAAGGAGCCGTGGGGATAGCTATGAACTGGATACCACAGCTTACCCAGCCTCCTTTAGGGCCTCATTTGTTCTGAAGGGTTTGTCGGTTCCGTCTCTACTGATTCGGGCTCTTGTGGCACACCGTGTTGTACTCTAGCTGTACCTGATTCAATATGTGCTACCCCCTTCCCAACAGCTACCAAATTGCCTTGTTGAATGCCATTTGGCTTTCAAGACTCCCCGAAAATCTTGCTCACACAATCGTGAACCTTGAGTCTCAAGACGCATGACCTTCAATTACTTGCCAGCATCTTGAATATTGTTTTCCACTCGTCAAAGTAAGTTTAGAAGGAATAAAACGTCTCCATGAAGCCATCAAGCCCGATTCAAAGTTCGTCGCTTCCGCTGCCCTGCGGCCAGGTTACGTGAAAAAGCTTACAGAGGCAGGCTCGCACTTGACTCGCGAAGGAGCAGCTTTTGCTCGTACCTCTCCTGGCCACAGAGGTCTCCTAAGTGCAAATCGGGTTGCCACCGAATCCTGGGAGCCCCCCTCATTTTGGGCGGAGGAACGAGGGCATGTTGCTTTTCCCAGGCTAGTTCAAGCTTTTTTGCACCATTGGTGGTGAATTGCTTGGGGTCGGCACCACATCTTATGTTCGAGGTCTGCATCTGCAAACGCCTTGTGCATGGGCTTTCCCCAAAGCAAGCGCGGCATGGTGCGCAAGTCAGCTTCAGAAGGCGCAGGTCCAAGCCCAAGCCTCGCGCGCTTTGTACGCATGCCTGGCGTCTTGCCCGAGGAAATGCCAGGCACTAGCATGGCCACCATCCCCCTATATACCTTCATTCTTTTAAGCTTGTAAGGAGGGCAGCGGTGTTGACTTTGTTGGAGGGTCCTTGAGGGACGCCAGGCGCTGACCCGAACAAGAATTCAACAGCACCTGGAAGTATGCAACTCGAACTCCAATGCAATGGACGGACTCCGCGCCCGCCTGGCCCCACAAACTCGAAGCCCCTGAAGATTGCAACCTTGAAGCCCTGAATGGGTTTGTCACACCTTGCCACTCAGAAAATATGAAATGTTGATGGGACAGCATGACACGTGGGCCACAATCAAAACCGGGGTAGATGCAGGGTAGTAGCGGACAATCCCAACCATAAAATAGCTGCGGATAACCGCCTTCTTAATTCTTTACATGGTTCTGAGTGGACAATTGAAAAATCCGGGTTTTGATTGTGACTCACGAGTTGCCTGGACATTTTTACGGCTGGACAGGCTCAGGACCTTTTGCAGCAGCGGACGCAAGAGGCTGCAGGAGCCTCAGGATGTGCACGCCTACGACCGCCTCCAACGACTTCGGGTGGGGTGAAATGGGGCAAACATGACTCTGAATACATGTTCCTCCGGATGTTCAGGCACGACCTGGTCATCCGCCACATCCGCCCAAAATTAATTTGCCACCCAAACCCCAAACCCAAGCAAGGTTTCCAAACCCCAAACCGCATTCAAGATTTGCTGCACAACCAAACCCCAAGCCCAACCCAGCCCGGAATCTCCCCTGAACCCACCTGAGCAAAGTCGCCGCTCAGGAGGCAGCCGCTGCCTTGGAGCTTGCCAAGGCTCAGCAGTGCCCCAGACTCAGCCTGGAAACGGACACGGCCCGGTTTTAGCATGTTTTAGCCGGGGCGCGGTTTTAGCCTGGGAGGATCGCTGACATGTCTGCCCATTGCATCGGCGATGGATATGTGAGCGCTTGGTAGGGTTTCTCCAGGCAGCTCCCAGGTTGACATATAAGGGCAACTTGAACTAAGCCGGTTGTTCCTCAGTTGCTCACTGACAGCCTATTCTTTCGGGGCAGGTTTCTGGGAGTTACACACGCCACACAACATTTTCACTGCGAGCCAATGTTTTGTAGAGGTTGGAATTGGGCATAGCTTGGGCGAGGCTCGCAGTGAGGGCAGGATGCACGGTGCCATTTGCTGAATGTGGGTCTTACTTTGAACGAGCTTGCTGGCGTCCCAGGTGTATCTAGCATTTAGACAGCGCAACCATCTCATGGTCACCCACAGCCACCGTCGACTGAGGCCTAGACTCACAGGCCAGCCGCGGATCTCTGCGTTCCCTGAAAGAACTTTAGGGCAAATTCCCGGCGCTCGGCTTTTTTGTTGGTGTCCATTCGAAACCCTAAGAAGGGCTCTATTTTCAGAACGCTTTGGGAGTTGATCAAACTGGAGGACGACTTTTGGTGCTTGAAGGGAAACGAGCAACAGGACACAACAGTTTTAGGGGACCCCTTTCGCCTACATTCTCCTGGAAAGTTGTGTTGATGGGGTTTCATTTCCATTTCATTGCCATGTTCCGTGTCTGCAAGGGGTTGGTTTGATTTGGTTGGCTCTTGAGCACTGCAAGTCGACCAAACGCATCCAGCTACGCCACGGTATATCCACATCCAGCCACCCAACCCTGTAAACCTTGCGGCAAACTGCTGGGATCGGTGGTGTTGGTGGTTCCCGACGTGCAATAGTTAGGGAGTCAACCGTGTCACCGCCTTTCATCCCGAGACGGCCATGCAAACCCCTTAACTGTTTGAGATCAAAACTTGAGTCAAGGGCGCGGCTTTCAACTGTTTGGAGTTTCGGGCCAGTAGCTCAAAGGAGTCAAGTGGAACACTAGGGGTTATTATGCTATTATCATCATTTCCATTTGTCATATCATTGCTATTGCTAGTGTTGTTACATTATTATTATTATCAATATTATTATTATTATTATTATTATTATTATTATTATTATTATTATTATTATTATTATTATTATTATTATTATTATTATTATTATTATTGCGATTGCGATTGCGATTGCTACTGTTCTGTGCGTATATATATATAGAGAGAGAGAGATGTATATGTGTGTCATACGTCGGCCTTGCGGTTTCGTCTAGGCCCTGTGGGGAGGAAATCTTTGTGGAGCCAGCGTCGCCAGGAACTTGAACCTCAGTTCAGTTGGCCTGGTAGATGCGCCTACGAATCGCTTGTTTTTCGGCCCTTGCGACGTGAGGTCATGTGCGCAGGACAGCCCAACGCAAACCCAAAAGCATCCAAAAGCCCAACTTCCAGGCCTCACGGCGCAGCAAGGCACGACCTGGTTTCATTCCAATCCCGGAGGCAACTGCTGAAATCCAGCTGTTTCAACCGAAGCTAGCCGACCAGCCATGCCACACTCCCAGCCCTGTGTCACGGCGTTTTTTGCATACCCGTGCGCTAGCGGGGTAA